TTGGGGGGATTAGTGTGCAGGAGGTTTGCCCGTCACAGAGGTGGCTGCGGGAAGCTTCCCTCAGAAGTGACATCTGCCCAAAGGCTCGACCCAGGCCAGGGAGTTGTCTGAGAGGGTTATTGGGGTAAGGAGCCAGACAAAGCTGGGCTGGGAGAAGCCAGGTTGGTTTACTCCAGCCCCAGATGCTGCCAGCTTCCTTCCGCCTATAAAAGCGCATCATCTCTCATGTGCCAAACAAAATAGGGAACCTCATGGCCCTTGCTCTCTCTGCTGCTACTCCACCTCCTCTGTCCCTTTGGGAGAGAATTTCCGAAAGGGTGTACTTCCGTTTTCTGGCCAACTCTCTTTAACCTGTCATGCTTTTCTGTAAATGGAGGCAGCTCCCTCTAAGTTACCAGGGATCAGTAGCCAACATATCATGGCCTTTCCTACTTCACTCTGGCTTTTCTCTTTTTCTTTTTTTAAAAATACACAACTGGGGCTGGAGAGATGGCTTAGAGGTTAAGAGCCCTGGCTGCTCTTCCAGAGGTCCTGAGTTCAATTCCCAGCCACCACATGGTGGCTCACAACCGTCTGTAATGAGATCTGGTGCCCTCTTCTGGCCTGCAGGCAGAACACTGTATGCATAATAAATAAATAAACCTTTTTAAAAAATACACAATTGGGGAATACATATAAGCACACTCTTTCGAAGTTTTTACATTTTTAACCTTTATTTCATTCCACGTACGTGGGTGTTTTGTCCGTATGATGTCTGTGCACCACGTGTGTACAGTGCCTACGGAGATCAGAGGAGGGTGTCGGATCCCCTGGGACTGGAGCTTCAGACAGTTGTGGGCTGACATTTGGGTGCTGGGAATCGAATCTGTGTCTTCTGAAAGGGCAGCCAGTGCTCTTAGCACACACACAGCCATCCCCCAGTCCCGTTCACTCCGGCTTAACACGGTCACCGCGTGCTTTTCCTGACTTCCATTGCACAGAAGGACTCTAGTTTTTGCCTTTCTTCCCACAATACCTCCTCTCGCTACCAATTTCTGTCAGCTAATGTTTTGACTGTGTTAGTCTATTTTCTGTTGCCATAATAAAACGCCTGGGACTGAGTATGTTATGAAGTAAGAGATTTATTTGCCTCACAGTTATGATGGCTACAGGACTCAAACAACATGGAGGCAGTGTCAGGGGACATCACCCTAGCGGTATTTGTGACAATACATACAGCAGGAAAATGAGAAGGGAATTAAGTGGCAGTGAGCATGGGTGGTGGCCTGCATGGGTGGTGGCTGACTTTGTAACAACTCCTTCCTGAGATAATTAATTTGCTCTGTGAGATCAGCTTTAATCCCTTCTGTGAGGAAACAGTGACCCCAGGCCGAAAGACCATGTGCTAGACCCCACTTTTATTTATTTATTTTTTTTAAAGATGTATTTCATTTATTTGGGGTTGGGAGCATGAGCCACATGAGTGCAGGTGCCGTCAGAGGCCAGAAGAGGGCGCTGCATTCCCCCGGAGCTGGTGTTCCAGGCTGTAGTGAGCCACCCACAGTGGCTGCTGGGAACTGAACTTGAGTCCCCTGGTAGGGCGGCAAGCCCCGCTCTTAACCATTGAGCCCTAGGCCCAGCCTCTTAGATGCCACTTTTTAAAGTTACCGTGACACTGGGGACTAAGTCGAAGCACATGAACCCTTGCGGCACTGGTGGCTTGGTGTTCTCCTTTGCCGATGCTTCTTTCTCCCAGCCTGCCGTGTGTGGGTCTGGTGTGGTTTCTTGTGTGTCTTCTCTCTGGGCATGTTTGGGCTGCCACATTCCGGTGACTTCAAGGACCACCACTATCAGGTGATAACCAGACATGGTGATTCTTTGTTCTTGGAGATTAGGCTGGCAGTTTGATCTGATGGACACGGTACTTCAAACTCAAGACTGGGAAGGAGCTTCTAACTTTCTCTTCCAAACTCACTTGACTCTGAGTGATGCACTAAGCCACCTAGACCCCCAGACTGGAAGCCTTCCAGCTATTCAGCCCTCCCCCATGCACCAACTGGACCCCACAGGCGATTGCTACAGGAGATCTATGCCTTGTCTACCAACAGTAATCCCCTCTTTTCAGTTGAGTCACATGTGATGGAGTTTCACAACCTTTGTCATGATTCTTCAGAATTTGCCCCTCAGGAAAGGCAGGCCCACCTCCGGTCAGAAGGAAACTCTGAACAGTCTGAAACTTCCAATACCCCCTGCATTTCAGGAGAGGTGAGTGGCAATCTGGCCCGTGAGAGGTAAAGAGCAGTACAAGTGAAGCCCGGCATGGTAGCTAATATTTGTAGTCCCAGCATTCAGGAGGCTGAGGCAGGAGGACTGTCATGAGTTCCAGGCTAGCCCAGGCTACAGTGTGAGACCCCTCCCCCTATTTAAAATTTTTAAAATTTAAAATTAAAAAATTTAAATGATATATTTAATGCCATTGGGATCTCTTCCGATGGAAGAGATACCTTCTTGTCCCACTGGGCACAGATGCTCCTGACGTAGCTTGGCAATGCAGTGGACTCTCAGGACAGCGATGGGAACCAGCCTGAGGTCCAAGGTACTAAGGATACAGGGGAGAAGGAAGTGAGTTCCTGTGCTATCGGCCCACTAATTAAATCCCACGTATTGACTTAAAAGTGTTGATTTATTTTATATGTGGGTGGGTAGCGCATGCGTGCTGTGCATGGCATGTGTGTGGAGGTCAGAGGGCAAGCCACAGGAGCTGGTTCTCATAGGAGTCTTAGGGTTGAACTCTGATTGCCAGACTTTCCAGCAAAGGCCTTCAGGCAATGAGCTCCCTTCCCGGCCCCATCCTGGACTTCTATGAGAAATGACACGCTGGTGGGCTAGACGTTGAATTCCGGCTTTCACTTCCTCGGGCAGAAACATCCTCTTCTGTGTGTCTCCTGTGCAGAGCTCTCTTCTCCTCCAACTGCCCGCCTGGCAGATTCTCTCAGGATGAAGTTTATCATCATCTCCTCTGAGCTCTGTCCTCACCGAATCTGACGTGCACTCCATTAACTCTCTATCAGACTGTAGGATGCTCCGGGGAAACATGTATTTTGGAGAGAGAGAGACAGAGAGAGAGACACACACACAGAGACACAGAGACAGAGACAGACAGACAGAGAGACAGACAGAGGGAGAGACACACAGAGAGATTGTTGTACAGGGTCCTTCTTTCATAATCTTCTCTGTATTATTCCAATATTAACATACGTGCTGCCAAAGCAAGTCCCCTTGAGGGGAATGTTAACTACTCTGTGTTTCTAGATCTCAGATGATTGTTGAATGAGTCAATAAGTAGACTTGGATGAATATTTTTACATCTGGTTCGTTTTGGACTCCCACAATACCTTCATGTAATAGCCACTGAAAATACTCACAATATTGATAAGAAACCATTTATTCAACGATGCACACACATCAGGTCTTCTCAGGACACACTGTCCCTCCTAGAGACAGAGAAGAGTTAGAAGTACAAAAATATGAGGCTCGCAGGCTCTGAGGAGATGGACGGAGATAACAATGGCCGGGGTTCGTTTATGAAAGGTGTCAAGAGGATCGAAAAGATGTCAACGTCACCTTCGGGAAACGGCTTCTTGAGCTGTTCGGTTCTAGGGAACCTAATTGCTCGGGAGGATAGGTTTGCTTCTAGAAGGTAAGTGCCATTGCTCTCTCCCAGAGAGCTCACTTTTAAAACGGTGAAAGTTGAAAGACTAACTCTAAGGTGTTGTTAGATGTATGTCCCACAACATTCAGATATGTTAGCAGGTGTCATTATCAACTTTCATAAAAGCCCTAACATGGCCAGCACTGTCCAACAGAATTTCTGACGTGAACGGAACTGCACTTTGTCCCTGAACGGGAGGCATTAGCCACACTTGGCTACCTGCCGGGGGCTGTTGAGAGAGCCAAGGGCTGGTGGTGTAGACTTAATCACTTAAACTGAAGCATAAGGGTGAGGGATACAGCCTTGCAGCGGTAGAGCGCTTGCCTAGCATGCACAAGGCCCTAGAGTCAAACCCAACAACGACACAAAAAGAAACAAAGTGATAGATGGAAGTCTACAGCACTTTCATCGCCAAAGTTGGACGGGGCAGGTCTGTGTTTCATGTGCCCAGTCCTGGTCAGGAAAGTTTCAGTTATACTTAGTAACAACTCCAAGATATTAGTGGCTTAAATAGCATAAAGGTTTGTTTGTTTTATGTGTACGTGGGGGGGAGGGGTATGTGCATGTGGGAGTGTCCTCAGAGGTCAAAGGGGAATCAGATTCCCCTGGAGCTGGGGTTACAAGTGGTTGCAAGACGCCTGATGTGGGTGCTGGAAACTACTAGAAACTGAACGTGGGTCCTCTGCAAGAGCAGTGTGGGTGGGCTTCTACCCTCTGACCCATCTCTCCAGTCCAAGTAGAAATTTTTCCGCCTCTCTCCCACTGTGTGCGTCATTTGGGAACTCTGTCCTATATTTCCTCATCCTTGGCTCATCTTGAGTGCTTCTGGCCCCTGTAACCCCAAACCACAAAACAAAGCAAATCTGGACAGCCCTACACTTCTTAATCCAGGGAATGCTTGGCCCAGAGATGACACTGACCACTCCCTCTCACAAACCATTGGTAGAACAAATCATGTTGTCCTACCCACCCACTAAGGAGGCAGGAAGTCCGTCTGATTACGGATGATCCAGAGACAGAACTCCCAAAGGAACAACAGTAATGGCTAAGTGTTGCTAATCAAATGGAGTACAAATAATTATGGGTTTGTTTGTTTGTTTGTTTGTTTGTTTTTCAAGACAGGGTTTCTCTGTGTAATAGCCCTGGCTGTCCTGGAACTCACTCTGTAGACCAGGCTGGCCTGCAAATAATTATGCTTTTAAAAGCCAAGTGTGTCTCTAGCAAAGGAATCAACAAAAACATGGGAGGAACAATGCACACACAGCAGGAATGCTCATTTTACAAAATCAAGGAATGACGGAAATTTGAATGTTTTAGAGCTATATACATAATTTTTATTAATCTCATTAAAGGAGAGAAAAAACACAATCATAATTAATTTGTCTTCCACTTAGAATTAAAGAGGATAATTTTTGTTTTTGTTTTTCAAAACAAAGTTTCTCTGTATAGCCCTGGCTGTCCTGGAACTTGCTCTGTAGACCAGGATGGCCTTGAACTCAGATGAGCCTGCCTCTTGCCTCTTGAGTGCTGGGATTAAAGGCATTCACAACCACCACCTAACTAAAGAGGGTGATTTTGTTAATTTAATTTAAAAAAATGCTTTCACAGAAAATAAAACAAATTTACCTACTCTTGCAGCAGCAGGTTCTTAGAGAAACCCCAGTGTGGTCTGTCTCTGATGCTCAGAGGCCATGCTCAAGAATCCGAAGGACCAGCTGTTCTCACTTCCAACTAGGAATCTTGGTGATTGCTCTCTGTATCATCCAGGGGGCAGAGGAAGCCACCACTGTGGTGGGAACTCGGTCCGTGTTCATGGGCAGGGGAGCCAGTTCAGGGGACTCAGTCCGTGTTCATGGGCAGGGGAGCCAGTTCAGGGGACTCAGTCCGTGTTCATGGGCAGGGGAGCCAGTTCAGGGGACTCAGTCCGTGTTCATGGGCAGGGGAGCCAGTTCAGGGGACTCAGTCCCTGCTCATGGGCAGGGGAGCCAGTTCAGGGACTCAGTCCGTGTTCATGGGCAGGGGAGCCAGTTCAGGGGACTCAGTCCCTGCTCATGGGCTGGGGAGCCAGCTCAGGGGACTCAGTCCCTGTTCATGGGCAGGTGAGTCTTCCTGACTCTCCCAAAGCAGCAGCAGCCTGTACTGACCTGCAGTGGCCCACAGCTGGCAGCCCCTTTGCTCCGTGACAGCCATCTGCCACTGGAGAGTGTCTCTGGCTCCTGGGTTTTTTCTTACAGCAGCTGTCCCTCCATGGGCCTTGTCCCAGTAGTCCACCTTGGAGCACGCAGCAGAGTTGGGGGTGTGCTGGGGGAAGCAGAGGCTTTGGGGACAGTTTGTGCAGCAAACCCTAGCTACTTCTACCTGCTTCTGAGTGCTCTCTGTAAACTCTACTATGTCTTAGTACTGCTAAGATTATGCAAGATTAGATGGGCAGACTAATAGGTGCACAATACACATCTATTTCATATGATGCTTTTTTTAGAGTGTGGTATGTGATACGTGGAGCTGAGCTTCATGATTCAAATGTGCCCAGATCAGAGACCAAGCTGCTTTTCTTCTTGTGGGGCAACTTCTTGTCTTAGTATTTCATTTCTGTAGCCTGAAGGGATTAGCATTATCTGTTGGGGGCCGACAGATTATATAATTAATTCACCTTGTACTTAAAAGAGTCACTTTCCACTAAGTCATGGCCTTACTTAAGTTGTAGGCATTTTAAGGCCAATGTGTAATAATTTAAATCAGATAAAAACTGATGGAAATAAGTATTGTTTTGACTCGCTGTGATTAGCCAGGTCTGAGTCCTCTGAATCATGAGCCGACGTGAAACATCAGCTGCCTCTTCAACAGTAGAGCAGTCTACAGAACCAGTTGAGATGTGGTTATCGGGAAGATCTCAGACACTGGACACACTTAGACGTGAGGTTTGCACTTGAACTCTGGCATACTGCCTTAGAGAAATCGCTTAACTTTGCCGAGCCTCAGTTTCCATTTATAGGGTGGGATAATAATAGCAGTAGTACTTATTTCAGTGAGTTGTATGAGTAAGTTACGTTTTTTTCTCTGATTTATTCAAGCCATCAATAGAAATCCTTGACCAGAGCAGGACCGAAGTCTGAATCCTTTACCATACCCTTATGGGCATGTTTCTAGGTTGAATAAGACCTGCCATTTGTGAGTACACCCTGCCCACCCCGTCCAGCCCACACCGTTTCATCTAGCAGGTGCAGCGGGCAGACTTTGTCCAACAGCTTGCTAATATACACAAAGGCAGCTTTTCGGGGAGACCATCTGCATTCCTTTTCATCCAAGACACTGGGTGGACAGTTACCATTTCAAAATTCTCTCTTAATTGGTTCCTTCTTCTAGTGGTCTCTGGTTTCTAGGCTACTAGATTTCATGAGACGACTCCTTGATGGAGTAATTTGAGTTTCCCAGGCTTCCTTTAGGAGGCACAAGTGTCAGCCGGGGTGGATTTCCTGCCGAGGGTGCTGTGTGTGCCCGTGTGTCTGATGGTGCCCCAGAGCTTGAGTTACGTCTCTGGAACTCTAGTATCTCCACCATCAATGGGAGCTTCGGTTCCTCATAGCTTCTGCCGCCCCGGCAGACAATTAGGCTTCAGTAGCAGGTGATAGACTGAAACGCAGCTCTAGCCAGGAGCTCAACAGTGAGCTCCTAAAATCTGGGTAATTGAAGTAGTAACGCATCCCGATAGCCAGTGAAGGAAGAACACATCCCTGGGGTCATCACCAATAGCCGCCAGCAAGTCCATTCGTTGACAGCTTTATCCAAGAGACCACCTTCTCTCTAAGCCAGACGGAGCCCCTCCTGTCACAGGAGTCTCTGAGTTGGGAAGAATTGTAAGGACAGGAGGGGCAGGCCTCAGCAAGTCCCCGCTCTGGCTCCAGAACGCTCCCGCTGTCTGTCTCTCAATCTGTCCTATAAAGAAACGGAGCTTTTGGCCCAGGGGGTTGTCCAAACGCTGGACACTCTTCTGAAGCCCTCTCCCCCCCCCCCCCCCCCCCCCCCGCCACCTCTGTTTACGTCCGTTTGTTTAGGCAACAACAATAGCAGCAGTAACCTTCCATGGCATCCTCGTCATGGATTTTATCGTTGCCTTGAACATCACATTTTAAGTATTCCAGGTGACAGGAGAGACAACAAGGATCTCTGGTCCAGAAGGGAACAGGGCACGAAGCGTCATAGTCAGCGGACGCAATGAAACAGCATGGCTGTAGCCCTGAAAGGGAATGAAAAATAAAATGAAAACAAGTAACAGAGTACAGATCGAGGAAAGGAAACTCGCTAAACGCTACTGCAGCTACTGGTGGAACTCCATATTTCAGTTTTTAAAAAGGTGATGATAAAGGACTACGCCATCTTAAAATACTCATTAAAAAAATTTATCTATTGTCATGTGTGTGGGTTGCTATGTGTGCTTTGCCTGAGGGGTAAGTCTGTGCACCTCGTTCATGCAGTGCCCAGCGAGGCCAGAAGAGGGCGCTGCATTCTTTGGGACTGGAGTGATAGGTGGTTGTAGCCACCATCTGGGTGCTGGGTATCAAACCTGACCCTGTGGGAGAGCAGCCAGTGCTCTTAAGCCCCGACCATCTCTCTAGCCACCAAAGGCATCACCGCAGTGTGGTGGCACAAACCTTTCATCCCAGCAATCGAGAGGCAGAGGCAGGTGGATCTCCGCGTGTTCCGGGCCGGACAAGGCTACAAAGTGAGACCTATCAAAAACTATCTTAAATCCACCTCCGACTTCACAAACCCGAGTGGAAACTCACCGCATCCGTGGGCGGAACCACACCAACTTTGAAAGTGACACACGAGACGCACCTGTGACAGTGGATGGTTGGCGTGCCGAACACTTCTTTGCCGTGGGCGTCAGTATCTATTTAAAAGTCCCAAGCCCATATTTTTGTGGCTCTACCCAGGGTCTTAATTTTGAGGAGCTGGTGCCTGTGGCCAAGCCCTAAGACCCCAATTTACATTTCGACTCCCCTGAAAAGTGAATATTTTAGCATAAACTCAATTCAGAGGAGAAGACTTGAGGGGGGGCCCCCAGTGTCCGGGGGATCACGGCCCTTATTCTCTTTAACTCTGGTACTTTCCAGCATTCCAGATGCCATGCCATTTATGAGACAGTTTAATTGCTCTAGCTTTGCCCAGCTGTGGTTCATCCTCAACAGGTTTCATCTCCACGTTAGGACAGAGAGGCCTAGGGATATCAAGAGATTACTCCAGTGGAGGCTAAGTCGGCCTCCTTCCTCCCACTACTGCTGGAACGGAGCGTCACATACCGTATCCACTTGATTTTCCATTGTGACCAGTTTTATGTCTAGAGGTAGCAGCTCTTTGCGGGAGCCCTCTGGAGATCAGAAAGGCACAGGAAGGCAGGGTTCTCTCCCTCCCTTCTGGCTGCTGAGGTAGGACAAAATTGGCGGAAGAGAGACAGCTCAGTGGTTAAGAGCACTGACTGCTCTTGCAGAAGACCCAGGTTCTGTTCCCAGCTCCCACATGCTGGCTCACAACTGCCTGTCACTCCAGTTCCAGGGATTGGATGCCTTTTTCTGGTTTCCTCATGTACCAGGCTTTGCACGTGGTACACACACTTACACAAGACAGAACACTCATAACAAATAAAATTTAAACTTATCTGTCTATCTATCTATCTATCTATCTATCTATCTATCTATCTATCTATCTACCTATTTATTTATTTTTCTGAGACACGGTTTCTCTGTGTAGCCCTGGTTGTCCTGGAACTCACTCTGTAGACCAAGCTGGCCTGGAACTCACAGAGATCCTCCTGCCTCTGCATACTGTGTGCTGGGATTAAAGGCGTGAGCCACCACCACCTGGCTTTTTATTGTTGTTTAAAATTTAAATAATTTTTAAAAAGTAGGATGAGCCTGTAACCATAGTAGAGATAACAGTAACACTAAGGTAGACAAGCATTTGAGGCCCTTCTCATTGGTCTTATCTTTGATGGGCATGTGGGGAGGGGGGGATAAAGTGTTTGTGTAGCACACGCCAGGCCCTGGGTTCAGTCTTCAGTTCGAGAAGGAATGGCATCTTGATAATGGTGCGAGGGACCAACCCTTCACTTCAGGAATTGTAGTTCGAGTTCATCCTGCTCCCAACTAGGTAGTGTGAAATGGCTCAAGGAAAAAAACCTCTGCCCTGGAAACTGCTTTGCATGGGGAACACCATGACTATATTGCTGGTTGTAATTCCAACTGTGCATTATCAAGACGCAAACTTAGGTGTTTCTTCTGGGGAACAGCTGTGATTCTAAACTCCCCTGCTCTCTGAAGACAGATGATTGCGGAAGAGCCCAGAAAGTGGGCGTCCTTGATGTCCAGACACCTTTCAGTCATCACAGTCAGGAACAGAGATCCAACAGACAGTCACAAAGAACTGGAAAACGCCCCGTGAGTGACACTGGGGTGCGCACCCCGGGGATACGCCAGTGGTTTCCACCCAGGAGACATGGCCCATCTGTGGTTGTCAACTGGGTGGCCCAGTCATAGGGTAGTGATTAGGGTCTGGAATCTGGCTGACCCTGCGTGGGGTTTTCACTTTAACTCTGGCTAGACTACTGTCCCTTCCACTCAAGGCAGAGGTTCAGAGTAGGAAGTGCTCCTGAGACGCACAGGGGTGCCTGTACTTGGCGTTGGGGAGTGTCCTGCCAGGCTTCTGTGCATGCTAGCACATGCTAGGGTCTGGCGGACCTGGGAAAATTTCCCATAGTGCCTTTCACTCCTTGAGATTGCCTGACAAGGTGGCAAAGATGGTGAAGCATCTTGACTTAGCCGGAGCGGTGGGTGTCAGCACTGGATATCCCACAGCCCAGGAAACCTCTCAGGCTTTGGGGAAAGTGGGTCTGTGGGTCAACTTGAGCCCCGACGCGTCCTGCCAGCTAACAGAGAGGCCTACCTCGTTAAGGAAAACCATGTCACTGGAGCTCTGTTCCACAGCATGGGTGGAAATCCTCACAAGCTGTGACTCAGGAGCCCACTCCAGCTCCAGGAGTAAAAGAAGTAGCCATGGACATCCTCACCTCTTCCCCAGCTTAGGAAATGGGGTTCTGAAGAGGAGCGGGGGGTCTCGGGACAGAGGTGAACAGTGTTCCCTCCATCTGCAGCGATCACTTGTTGGTTCTGGGACTGTGTACCTGCTAGGATCTGGATGAGCTCACCTTTTCTTCTCACCAACATTTGTTGAACCCGGGTAGGTAGTGACCCGTCCCGCAGGAGGCCGACAGGTCACAGGCTTCTGGCTTTAGCTCCACTCCCGAAACCGCAAACAGAGACTCCTCTGTAGGGAAGAAAAGAGAAAAACATCAACATATGATTTCCTGAGATCTTCTGTAGATGTAACCAACCGTCTTATTAAATAAGAAACACAGAGCTGATTCAGAGAAGAAAGCCAAGAGGTCAGAGCTAAGAGCCTCACCCTTCCTGCTTCAGCGATCCTCTTCAGTCAAGAGAGCTCTCCAAAAGGGACCTACTTCCTGTGTGTATGTCTTTATATAGTCTAGCTGTTCTGCCTTCTCATTGGTTGTAAACCCAAACACGTGACTGCCTCGTCACTGCCTGAATGTACCGCCCTCCAGGTCCTTAAAGGCGTGTGCCACCGACGCCATGCACTTGCTATGGCTCTAATAGCTCTGACCCCCAGGCAACTTTATTTATTAACATACAATTAAAATCACATTTCAGTACAAGTAAAATACCACCACAGGACATCTATTTTGTCCACCTGCTGTAACATCTGTTACCCAAACAAAATAGGCAAACTTCCTAATAACTTATACTGACTCAGGGCTGACTTACTGTTCCAAATCTTTGATAGTTTCCAAGTGTTCCCAAGGCAACTTGGGAATTCAGTTCAGTGCATACCCACCAAATGAACACGGGTGGAATTGGGGAAGGGCCTGGAACCAATGGGGAAGAGTTAGAATGCCAAGCCAAGGAGTCCAGACTGCAGTCCCAGCAAGGGCAGGCAAAGAGCATCACGTGGGGCTAAATATACTGTGGAAGGTTAAAAGACCTGTCAGAAACATTAGTTGCTAGAGCAATGGTTCTCAACCTATGGGTTGAGACCCCTTGGGGGTTGCATATCAGATAATCTGTATGCCAAATATCCTGCATATCAGATATTTATATTGCAATTCATAATAGTAGTGAAATTACAATTAGGAAGTAGCAATATTATGGTTGGGGGCAAGGTCACCACAACATGAGGAACTGTACTAAGGGTCGCAGCATTAGGAAGATTGAGAATCATTGCTTTAAAGAGAGTCTAAATAGACTCTAAGGCATGACTTTGATAAAATAATTAAAAACTATTTTGAAATATCTTTATGTATTACCTTCATTTTTATACATAGACAAATGTTCCTTGGCTTACCATGGGACATGTCTTGGTAAACCATCGTAAGTCCTTGGGTTCAATCCCCAGCACAGAAGAAAGGTAACAGATACCATACATCAAAAACGGATTCTTTATTTTATGTGTACGGGTGTTTCACCTGCATGTACGTTTGTGCACTATGCATCAGTGCCTGTGGAGGCCAGAATGGGACACTGGATCCCCTGGGACTGGAAGTACAGGATATCTGATATACAGGTTAGCTGGTATGCAACCCCAAAGGGGTCACAACCCATAGGCTGAGAACCAATTCTCTGTGTTCTGTGGTATGGGTGCTGGGAACTGAACCTAGGAACTGGTCCTCTGGAAGAACAATTGTTGCCTTTAAGCACCAAGACATCTCTCCAGCTCCATCAGAAATGCATTTTAAAAGGGCTGGGGAGACGGCTTAGCGGGTAAGAGCACTGGCCCTGTTTTCAGAAGTCTTGACTTCAATTCCCAGCACCCACATGGTGGCTTACAGTGGTCTAGAACTGTAGTCCTACAGGGTCTGATGCCCTCTCCTGGTGTGCAGACATACATGCAGACAAAGTACCCACATACATAAACTAATACAAAAATGTATTTAATAAGACCCTCCCTCAAAGCAATAACAACCACAGCAAGCACGGAACACACCTAACCTACGGAATGTGAGAGCTTACCCACACTGTACACTGTAGAGCTGGTTGTTTCCCTGGTGACTGTGGGACTGGGAACACGGAACAATTCTGCCACTACCCAGTGAGGAGAGAGTGCATCACTAGACCCCCCAAAAGATCAAAACTTGAAATAAAGTCATCCTTTGTGCCACGGTTCCAGGACTAGTGTATGTGCCAAAAGATGCTGAACCTCTCGTGTAAAGCAGAACCGTTTGTGCGTGTTACACACACATACGATGTCCTTTCAATTGTCTCAAGATTACCCACCATCACTAATGCAGTACACACTGCATAAACAGTTACACAGCATCTAAAAGATGATGGCAAGAGAAAAATTGGCCCACGTTAAGCCCAGAGACAGTCGCCTGAATATGTGGGGTTGCCTGAATCTGATAGATTCTGCAGTCAGGGAACCCATGGGCATGGAAGGCCCGTTCTAGGGTTCCTACTATGCATATGGCTTTCACCCCATTATAACATTGAAACAACTCTTAAATGAAAACATTGCCCATCAGGGACAGTCTGTATTTGATTGGTCGGTCACCCTGGCCATTTGCAGCTCCACAGATGCCTGTGTTTATTACACACCTGTCTCTGACTGTGCTCAGTAGACTGATGGGCCAAATCCTTCCAAAGTTGATGTTCAGTTAAGGGGCTCATCTGCATGAGAGGAAACAAAACTTCCCAGCAGATTGCTGTGAGTTTAAAAAAAAAAACAAAAAACCATGAACGTGTGCAAGACACCTTTCACAGTTCCTGACACACAGTAGGCACCGAACAGTTGCTGTTGCTGGAGACATGAGCAGAGGCATGAGCAGAGACATGAGCAGAGACATGAACACAGAACTTGCTTACAGTATCCTTCCCACTCAGGCACTGCTTCTCCAAGCTCATGGTCTGCAGGAACCCGGGTTGCTCCAAATAGCTCAATATGTAACAGAGACAGAGCGTCTGTTTGGCACACCAAAGGCACATACTGTCTTAATGATACTGTTTGCTCAGAGCTGTTCACACCCAAAGGGAAGAAAGAAGCTGTGCTGTCGGCCTTGCCTGACTTGACCTGGACTTCTCTGCCTCGGTGCTGTGGGAACTCTGCGCTGCTGACATCTTTGGTTTGGGCTTGGGCTTGGGCTTGGGCAGGAGGATAAGCCTTTGCTGGTCCGAATAAGACATTTTTCCACAGGGATGTATATTACACCCTTTTGTACTTTCCTTTAGTTCACATCACAGCACAAACGGCGAAAATAAACAGTGTCCATACTTTGCAGATGGCTCTGTAAACTCAAATACAAGCCGATTTAGGAGTTTCGTCTCCAGGAGAAACCTCTTCGTACCTTGGAGACAGTGACATGAAAAGCTTGGGTTTCCCTGGAGGCTGCCTTGCCCCTCAAAAGTAGGGATGGGGAATAGAGGTAGGGAGGAGGGAGAGGAGAAGGAAGGAGGAGAGAGGTAGGAGGGGAGAGGAAAGAAGAGAGTGAGGGAGAGAGAAGGAGGGAGAGGGAGAAGGGGAGAGAGACAGGGAGAGAGTAGGAGAGAGAGGGACTGAAAGAGAGAATCTAATCAAAAGGATTCAGTGGGTCGCAGGCTGCCAGGCTCTCCTTCCTAACTCACTGTAAGAGAAAATGAAAAAGCGGAGAAGGAAAAGATAGAAAGGAAGGGGAGAAGAGGGGAGGCAGGAGAGGGGAGGCTCTCCCTCAGTGATCCGCAGCGAGGCAAGTCCTTCCACTGGGTGACTGCTCATTAGCTTAGCGAATCTGACAGCGTAATTATCACAGCCGCTTTGCGCTTAGAATAAATAAATACGCAAGTGGGTGCTTAAAAGTTTTTTTTGAGAAGGAGATTCAGTCATCTAGACCGTCGGTGCGACAAGTTTACTGAAAACTTTTAGATTCTTCCGTATTTAGATCATTTTCGGAGGAGATAATGAGATAGTTGTCGCTCAGTGTAATTGAGTTCCTCAGCTCCCCGGCAGCTAGCTGTCACCCTTTCAAACTCGGCTTTGACTTTCTTCCTCACAAACCGGATCCCAGCGTCTCTGTTTACTCTCCCTGCACTGATAACCTGGGGAAGGCCGGTGCACTGGCGTGCAGAGAGTGACTTAATGGGATTGGGGGGCTGAATAACCTTCGCAGGAAACGAGATAATCAAATCTCCCTTGTCTGTGCCGGCTAAAGGAGACAGGCCGAGTTACAAAGAGCTTGGAAATTAAACCAGCCTTGCAAAATGTCTAGCTCTTTCCCTCATCACGTGGACGTTGGGCTCTTCTTACACATCATCAGTCCGTCCGCTCAAACGGCTTACTGTGTGCGGTTCTTCAGAGAGCACACTTCTGCACAAGGAGGCCGGAATCCTGGCTCGTGTCTCTGGATGGCAGCTTCCTATCTTCAAAGCCCAAAGGTTCACAGCATACCTTAAACTGGAGTTGCCACCTAACAGGGAGTGCACCGATGACTCGGACTCAGGGCACGGTGCACACGCATCTCCCATTAATGCGGATAATCTTTCCTTTGAAAGTTAATTAGTGCCTATTTGTCTTTCCCTCTCCATCTTGCCTCCCGAGACTCTCCTAGAACCACACTTACTGTGTCCAGTGAGCCGAAGGTTTCATGAACATTCAGTTCATTCTGGGATAAAAGAAACTAGTGCTAACCCACTATGCAGATGGAAAAATCAAGGCCTAGGAAGGCCAGTGGTGCATCTGGTTTGGGGGAAAAGAAAAGAAAAAAAGAAAGAAAGAACAAGAAAATATAAGCCTTTAATTCTCAGTTCTGAGCTCAGAACCCATGTACCATTTTGGTCTAACCCATTCTTAAAACAAAAAATATGATATCACCAACATAAAGAAAATCCTGAAAAGGAGGGGAAATGATCTAGAACATTTTAGTTCTCTATATTAGCTTTCAGTTTTGTTCATGTGTGAATACCTTTCCTAAGTAGATTATAATGTGCTGTTCTGTAGTCTTGTTTTTGGTTTTTGAGTTAGTGTCTCACTGTGTATTTTTGGATGGCCTGAAATTTGCTATGTAGGCCAGGCTGGCTTCGAACTCACAGAGAACCACCTGTCTCTGTCTCCCGAGTGCCAGGGTCAAAGGCATTTGCCACCACGCCAGCTGGCTTTTCTCTTTTTCCTCTTCCTCCTTCTCTCCCTTTCTCCCTTCCATTTTGAAAGACAGCACTGCTACGTGACCCAGGTTGCCCCCAAATGCTGCAACTGAGGTCACATACCCTCAGGCTCACCTTTCT